GATGGGCTGAAAATGTTTGCTTTATTTCCGTTCAATTGTTTGCATACATACACACAATTCCGTCATGCTACTCATGTTTCTGCCTTATTTGCTTATCGTAAATAATGCTCTGATATAATAATAACCAGAGCTATGCAAATATAATGTTTGCCAAAAGGGATTTTAATGAATTGGTTGACATTATCTCATTTACTTTCCATCATGGTAAAATCATTGAAGCATTTGAATTTATTATTTTTGATCTGATAAATTAAGTTTTGAAGATTTATTTGCAAATATTGGAAAAAGAGTTTTAGAAAAACTTGATTAGTGTATATTATTATTATTATTATTATTTGTTTATCGAGTTATATGTTGCAAACAAATTCTGACTTTTGTGTCAGTATTTTTTTTATTTGCTCAAAAATGACTACAAACAACAAATGAAACTAAAAATTCCACAAGTACAAATTAAAAGCACTTTATGATGAACACCATTAAAATATTTGTGTACAAAATTTAATTAATTAAAATTTTCGTTTCATTGTTACCATTTATTGTTATTAAATTTTATTTTTGATTCTTTCTGGAATAAGAGAAAAAATAGCATGTAAAAATATTCATTTTCATTTCAATTCTTGTTGTAAAAACATTTTAAAAATAACTTTTTGTGCTATTGTCGTTTTATAATAACTTTTTATATGCTCAACAATTCATTTCTACTTCTACCCCAAAAAATGATACTAGCATATATCTGCATCCATATATTGTTTGCTATGATACTAACATATTTATGTTTATAATCTTTTACCCTTTTCCATATCCATTGGATGTAAAAGGTAGAAGCTTAACAATAAGTTTTCATAACATGTCCATGAATTATAAACATTTATTTTTTCATTAAAATTGTTTTTCAGGTTATGCAATGTTTTAACCCATGCCTCAGTCATTTTCACATATCATATTGAATCCATCCGTCTACTCATTTTGAATTAGGGATTTCTGATTAATTTTATTTTATTATGAAAAAGTCCGATTATACACTATTAAAAGATAGAACCTCTTATCCTAATGTTTTTGAAGAATATCTGTTCTACATACTTATGAAAATTTTAATTACGTATAATATTCAAAACTCACATCTCATCACATCATAATGATTGCAGAGAAGACATTACCTCCTTATACTCGACATTACAAACTATTTCATTCAAATTTCAATTAACAAAATACGAGGTATGGTAAAGGCAAAGAAGAAAAAGGTATTTCTGCCTGTTTACTTTAAATGAGTTCTACTCTTGCCTTTAATTTTTTATGTTCTAATACATACTATTTAAATTCTCATTAAAATTTAATTATTTTAAAATAATTACTTTTACTTTTTAAATGAAAAATAGTTTGTTTAATCGTGTAGCTCAGTGCTATTGAACAGCACAATTTAATGATTATCTCTTTGAAATTTTATTTTGTTGTTAATGCTTACTAAAGAAAATTTTCAATCCCTTTTAAAATTATAATGTCGCTAAATTACATCCAAAAAATTTCAATTATATTGTTCGATATTAAAAATCTTCTTTAATGTCATTTCTAGTTGCTTCATAAATAGGCAAAAGTTTATTCAAACAAACAAAAAGAAGAGCTGTAAACTCTGAACAAAATTAAAATTGACGGATTTATTTAAAACCTTTTTTTTTGTCATATTCCATAAATGTAGTCTACCGAAACTGTTTTATGAAAACAAATTTAACTTTTTCTTACTTTGCCTAATTAATATGAAAATCCAGCCACTTTCTTAACGAGTTGAATTTGTTTGTGAAAATAATTATCTTATGATGATGAGAGAATTTTAATATGACGGTGTTTCCATTATTGCTTATTTTTAAGATTTATGTCATCTTAATAGCTTAACTTAACTAGTCTATTCAGGGGCGCCTGTTATCAGATTTAAACTTTGCAAAAAACTGTAAGACACGTACAGACAGGTTAAGTTTTTAGGGTAAACATTCCTACAAAACGGTCTATGGCTTCACAACCCATCTCCTCCCCAACCCTTCATATGCATCAGATGTCTACCCTTAAACCTAATGTACCTTCCCTTTGAGACCCCCTCCCAACTCAGAAGGACCCCCTTAAAAAAACCCATAAATACGCTCGTAAAATTTTGCTTCACAAGACTTCCGTTCCACAGCCAACAAGAGAATTTTGTGTTTTTATCGATATTTTCAACTATATAATTTTGTTTTGGTTTTTTACAAAGGTGAATATTAAAATTATCTATGCCATAGAAAACACCTTTCTGGCAGTTTTATGGTATTAGAATTCTTTTATAATAATGTGAATAAAGATAAAGTTGTTTGAACTTACAACTAATGGATTTGTGCACTTCTCGGGCATTCATACCCATTTTACAAATTGTAATGCTTAGTTCTAATAGACATTTTTATTAAAGTGTTTTGAATTAATTTTCTTTCGTTATTAATAACGCCTTATAACGCATTAAATAGTAATGGAAAGTACGAAACTTTGTAATATTCAAAACTGTTGAATAAAAAAATAAAATTTTCTTCATTGTCATTTAATGTAGATTTAATTTTTTTCAGTGATTTTCTACTTCCATCTTTGCTCTTGTCAATACCAGGTAACACTTTTCTTCTTTACACAGATAAAGTGTTTAATTTATCCCATTTTTATGTAATTATCATTAGCGTTGATGTTGATGGTTTCAAAAAAGCAAAAACTTTTCATTATTCGTCATAATTTTCTTTCAAGTGCTTAATTACTTTTCTCTTCTTTCATCCGTACTTCCTGACAATTTTCCCCCTTGTCTTTTTAACATTAGTATCATATGAACATTAATTGATAAAACTTTTCTTCTTACTATGATTCTCCTCTATTTCATGCATTTTTAACAATAATTTATCTGCATTATCAGTAAAATGTATGTTTGAAAAAAACAACAGCAAATAAAGTGAAAAACTTTATATTTTTATCGCTTGAGTTCTTTAATTATTTTTTTTTCGTGTAAAATCTTTTTATATTGAGAAACTTTATCAAACTTTTTTTTTATATTTAGCTTTTTTTATTTGACTAGTTTATCGGATAGAAACCCAATGTGGATATATTCACACCGTACTGTCGAAAGTTTCGTCAATAGACAGAGCTTCTCTCAGCATATGTGTCAAATTTAAAAGCTTGACGAGTTGGCTTGATCAGCACATGTTTGAAGATTTAAATCTAAATGGATGTGTCAAACATTCTTAAAACTTTTTTGATTCGAAACTTCTTTGAATTGAAAGATTAATTTTATAAAAATTAAAGTAAACTTTAGTTTTTAAAAAATCTTAAATTAAGGAAGCAACGACTGTTCCTCCCTTGGCCAAAAACAATGTAGCTCTTCTATAAGACAGCACGGATCGATTGTAAAAAACCAAAAGTTTCTACGATGTCTCATTAATGAGATTTCTTGCTGATTAACTTGCTTGCTTTCAGAAAGCGTATTTTGGGGTTTTTTAAGCAATGTCTCAACAAATTTGAATTCTGTTTTTTTTTTGCAAAAGACGCAATAATTTTTCAATCTGAACAAAAACAATACAGTCACACGTGAGTACGGTGTGAATATGAAAAGTATAAAAACTTATTTTAAGTTCTCATTTAATTCTCAACACGAATAAATTTTTTAAATGATTTACACAAGAAACAAAGTTTCATCATTATTTACTCAATAATGAACAAGTTTCTATTAGCGTCATTGAAAATTGTGGATAAGAAAAGTTCTTTTAAACTTCTTCATTTTAATTGAAAGGATTTTTTTTGTATAAATAGCTGTTGAAACAGGTACAAATTTTCCACATTTATTTATTCAACAATTGAAATAGCTGAGCTTGAAACGATAAATCATGAATATAATTAGCTGCATCAACACTTTAAAAAAAAGTAAATCTTTACAATGAAAAGTCAGAGGATGGTTTCTAAACAACTTTAGTCGTTGTATAGTGTGATACAGCACCCCGGGAATCATTTGAACCGGTCCCATATGTAGTGTCAACATACAAATAAAATTTTTTATTTCATCATACTTAATTAAATTCAACAAAATCAGTTGATAAGGATTTAAAATCATCATTTATGGACTTGGTTACAATATTAAGAATTTATTAAAATATTCTGAGTGCTTTAACTATTTTTTGAGTGTTTTAAACCCCGAAGGTAATTTATGAACGGATGCACTTTTGAAGATATTCTTCAGACAGTGATAAGTTCTATTTATTTATAATCTCTGTAATTGCAATCAGTAAGCACGATAATATTTGGTAATCACATATATGCCATCTTTTTGAAAGACATTAAAGACAATAGGCCAAACTGTAATAACAAGACTAAGGATAGGACATACAAGACTGATTCATGGACATTTATTTGAACGTACGAGCACTACGACCTGCAGATGTGCGGAACCACTAACGGTGAATCACATCCTCAGCTGCAGCATTGACAAACAACAACAAGACAAATACAAAATTGACTTTGACACTCTTAAAAATGAATATTAAGAAAAGCTAATCTCAGTCGTGAATTATTTAAAAGAATTAGACATTTACAAAAAGATTTAATCCACACTAGCTATGTTGCAACTGAAATGAAATAATTGCAAAATTTATGTAAATATTGAAAAATTTATCTTAAAGGTTTTTATGCAGTTTGAAATAGTTTAAGTACTTTTTCAGGCGGCTTTTTCTTTTAAAAAAGATAAATACATGGAAAAATAAAAGTCCTTTAATGGAATCGGAAAAAAATATTTAAACCAGCAAAAAAATTGATTAAAGCTTTATTTTTTCTTAATTCAATCTGAAATTTTTTTAAAATTAAAGTTGTTTCTGGATGCAGGCTCTTAAAAGATTCTCTTTAATTTGCTCTCAAATTATTTTGGATTTGATTGAAGCATTTAAAAATATTAACTCACAAATATAATAAATTCACACTTGAATACAGAGTGAGTATAACAAAAATATTTCCCAAAAAATTCAAGGACGAGAACCACAAATGTTCAGATTTTGCTCAATTAACTTAACCTCATTTTGATCAAAATATTTTCCTATTATTGCATCAACAGTGGTTTTTGTGCTATCAGACATGATTGGTGTTCTTGATGAAATCCAAAGATAATGGACTGATTTTCCTGTTGGCTTTTCTTTGCATTCATAAACTATCGCATAATTATCGTAGTCAGTTGAAAGATATTTGAATGCATCAACTTTTTGTGTTGCTTTAAGAAAAGTTCAAAAAATCAATCCTTTTATAAATAATTATCGAGAACAAGTCAAATATTCTTACGGTTATCAAAATATGCATATAATGTTCTGCCTTCTAATGTCTGATTATCAACTGATATGATTCCAGTCAAGCATGTATATTTTCCTTCAGAAAGTTCACAATCAACAACTTTAACAGAGTTATCATCAATCGAAGTGTATACTCCATAAGCACAAGTTAAACTTGAACCATAAGTATCCTCATATTTCATTACTGTATACTATCTTCCGGAAATCTTTACAAAACTTATTTATTTTTCAAACCCATTCAAAACTTATTTTACTTTTTTAATATCAAAATTTTGTTGAACAGGACGAACTGGACACGGAGAATCCGAATGATACTCTGCGCACATTATTTGTAAAAATGCCAAAATTATTAAAAATTTCATCTTTAAATTTTTTGATGCCGAAAGTTTAATCACATAAAAACAACTGAACATATGAAAATCGTTTATGTCATTTGCATCTCCGTTTAATAATGGCGTGACCTATAAAATACATACAAAAATTGTAAAAATTAAAGTGATAAGACTGATTATATATTGAATCATTTTATTCTTTATAAACTTTTTGGAAGTCAGATGAGAAATTTTCAGGCAATCTTTTTTAATCTCATGGTAAACAAAATAATTCACATTGATTGACGATAATCATTGCACTTCTATTAAAGTAGTTGCCAACCAATTCTTTGACATGATTCAAAACGGATTCATAAAGTGCGGTTTTGTTGAAAAAACCTATGCGATTTTAAAAATTTATTCTGAGGTAAATTAGAGCAGTAGATAACCAATAATTTTCATAATCCGTTGAGAGAACCTAAACAAATTTTTACAATTAAAAAACTCATGTCTATTAGTATTGCTGGAATCACTTAAAAATTGCTCCTTTAAAATCATTTCCTTCGTGTTTTCGCTAACGATTTCTCACTTATACAGAATCATCACATAAAAGGTAAAACTGATCCCGAGATGTCCTGCATGGAAATCATTTCAACTCATGAAATATTGTTCGCGAGAATATCAATTTGTTGATTAAAAAATTACGTGAGTCAGCAAACAAATATGTAAAATTAATATTTATATTCACACCGTTTTCACGTGTGAATGTTTTGTTTTTGTTCAGATTGAAAAGTCAGTTTTTTGGATTTTGTGAGTTAACGAAGCATTTTAGCTATAAATGTATAAAAGAGAAAAGTTTGCGCCTGAAATTTTACATCTTATGCAAAAAACAGAATTCAAATTGGTTGCGGCGTTGCTGAGAAAATCGAAAAATACGTGTTATCGAAAAATATGTTTTTGGGCAAGGTAGGAAAAGCCGTTGCTTCAAAAAAAGCAAAAAACCTTCTTTTTTTACGAATTTTTCAAATTAAAAGTTCATTGTGATTTTTTTTAAATTAAAAAAATTTTTTTGAGCAAAGAACCAAGGAGGAAATACATTTTCAATTTTGAACTAGGGGCGACCCTAGTCAAAATCAATTTTGTCACTTTTTTCTTCGAGGGTTTATCCAAATGGATTGAAACTTTGTATAAATATTCTAGTGCTTAAAACAAATACAAATAAAACATCCTAAAATTTTTTTGAGCAAAGAACCAAGTAGGAAATACATTTTAAATTTTGGACTAGGGGCGACCCTAGCCAAAATCAAGTTTGTCACTTTTTTCTTCGAGGGTTTATCCAAATGGATTGAAACTCTGCATAAATATTCTAGTGCTTAAAACAAATACAAATAAAACATCCTAAAATTTTTTTGAGCAAAGAACCAAGTAGGAAATACATTTTCAATTTTGGACTAGGGGCGACCCTAGTCAAAATCAATTTTGTCTTTTTTTTCTTCGAGGGTTTTTACAAATGGATTAAACTTTGCATAAATATTCTAGTGCTTAAAACAAATACAAATAAAACATCCTAAAGTTTTTTTGAACAAAAAACCAAGTAGGAAATACATTTTCAATTTTGGACTAGGGGCGACCCTATTCAAAATCAAGTTTGTCACTTTTTTCTTCGAGGGTTTATCCAAATGGATTAAACTTTGCATAAATATTCTAATGCTTAAAACAAACACAAATAAAACATCTTAAAATTTTTTTGAGCAAAGAACCAAGTAGATCAATTTTGTCACTTTTTTCTTCGAGGGTTTATCCAAATGGATTAAACTTTGCATAAATATTCTAATGCTTAAAACAAACACAAATAAAACATCTTAAAATTTTTTTGAGCAAAGAACCAAGTAGATCAATTTTGTCACTTTTTTCTTCGAGGGTTTATCCAAATGGATTGAAACTTTGTATAAATATTCTAGTGCTTAAAACAAATACAAATAAAACATCCTAAAATTTTTTTGAGCAAAGAACCAAGTAGGAAATACATTTTAAATTTTGGACTAGGGGCGACCCTAGCCAAAATCAAGTTTGTCACTTTTTTCTTCGAGGGTTTATCCAAATGGATTGAAACTCTGCATAAATATTCAAGTGCTTAAAACAAATACAAATAAAACATCCTAAAATTTTTTTGAGCAAAGAACCAAGTAGGAAATACATTTTCAATTTTGGACTAGGGGCGACCCTAGTCAAAATCAATTTTGTCTTTTTTTTCTTCGAGGGTTTTTACAAATGGATTAAACTTTGCATAAATATTCTAGTGCTTAAAACAAATACAAATAAAACATCCTAAAGTTTTTTTGAACAAAAAACCAAGTAGGAAATACATTTTCAATTTTGGACTAGGGGCGACCCTATTCAAAATCAAGTTTGTCACTTTTTTCTTCGAGGGTTTATCCAAATGGATTAAACTTTGCATAAATATTCTAATGCTTAAAACAAACACAAATAAAACATCTTAAAATTTTTTTGAGCAAAGAACCAAGTAGGAAATACATTTTCAATTTTGGACTAGGGGCGACCCTAGTCAAGATCAATTTTGTCACTTTTTTCTTCGAGGGTTTATCCAAATAGATTGAAACTTTGCATAAATATTCTAATACTTAAACAAATACAAAAAAAACATCCTAAAGTTTTTTTGAGCAAAGAATCAAGTAGGAAATACATTTTCAATTTTGGACTAGGGGCGACCCTAGTCAAGATCAATTTTGTCACTTTTTTCTTCGAGGGTTTATCCAAATGGATTAAACTTTGCATAAATATTCTAATGCTTAAAACAAACACAAATAAAACATCTTAAAATTTTTTTGAGCAAAGAACCAAGTAGATCAATTTTGTCACTTTTTTCTTGGAGGGTTTATCCAAATAGATTGAAACTTTGCATAAATATTTTAATGCTTTAAACAAATACAAATAAAACATCTTAAATTTTTTTTGAGCAAAGAACCAAGTAGGAAATACATTTTCAATTTTGGACTAGGGGCAACCCTAGTCAAAATCAATTTGTCACTTTTTTCTTCGAGGGTTTATCCAAATGGATTGAAACTTTGCATAAATATTTTAATACTTAAACAAATACAAATAAAACATCTAAAAATTTTTTTGAGCAAAGAACCAAGTAGGAAACACATTTTCAATTTTGGACTAGGGGCGACCCTATTCAAAATCAATTTTGTCAATTTTTTCTTCGAGGGTTTATACAAATTGATTGAAACTTTGCATAAATATTCTGGTGCTTAAAACAAATACAAATAAAACATCTTCAAATTTTTTTGAGCAAAGAACTAAGGAGGAAATACATTTTCAATTTTGAACTAGGTGCGACCCTAGTCAAAATCAATTTTCTCACTTTATTCTTCGAGGGTTTATCCAAATGGATTGAAACTTTGCATAAATATTCTAGTCCTTAAAACAAATACAAATAAAACATCTTAAAATTTTGTTGAGCAAAGAACCAAGTAGGAAATACATTTTCAATTTTGGACTAGGGGCGACCCTAGTCAAAATAAATTTTGTCTTTTTTTTCTTCGAGGGTTTATACAAATGGATTGAAACTTTGCATAAATATTCTAGTGCTTAAAACAAATACAAATAAAACATCTTAAAATTTTGTTGAGCAAAGAACCAAGTAGGAAATACATTTTCAATTTTGGACTAGGGGCGACCCTAGTCAAAATAAATTTTGTCTTTTTTTTCTTCGAGGGTTTATACAAATGGATTGAAACTTTGCATAAATATTCTAGTGCTTAAAACAAATACAAATAAAACATCCTAAAGTTTTTTTGAACAAAGAACCAAGTAGGAAATACATTTTCAATTTTGGACTAGGGGCGACCCTAGTCAAAATCAATTTTCTCACTTTTTTCTTCGAGGGTTTATCCAAATGGATTAAACTTTGCATGAATATTCTAATGCTTAAAACAAACACAAATAAAACATCTTAAAATTTTTTTGAGCAAAAAACTAAGTAGGAAATACATTTTCAATTTTGGACTAGGTGCGACCCTAGTCAAAATCAATTTTCTCGCTTTTTTCTTCGAAGAATTATCCAAATGGATTGAAACTTTGCATAAATATTCTAATGCTTAAACAAATACAAATAAAACATCTTAAAATTTTTTTTGAGCAAAGAACCAAGTAGGAAATACATTTTCAATTTTGTACTAGGGGCGACCCTAGTCCAAATCAATTTTCTCACTTTTTTCTTCGAGGGTTTATCCAAATGGATTGAAACTTTGCATAAATATTCTAATGCTTAAAACAAACACAAATAAAACATCTTAAAATTTTTTTGAGCAAAAAACTAAGTAGGAAATACATTTTCAATTTTGGACTAAGTGCGACCCTAGTCAAAATCAATTTTCTCACTTTTTTCTTCGAGGATTTATCCAAATGAATTGAAACTTTGCATAAATATTCTAATGCTTGAACAAATACAAATAAAACATCTTAAAATTTTTTTGAGCAAAGAACCAAATAGGAAATACATTTTCAATTTTGGACAAGGGGCGACCCTAGTCAAAATCAATTTTCTCACTTTTTGTCGAGGGTTTATCCAAATGGATTGAAACTTTGCATAAATGTTTTAGTGCTAAAAATAAACACAAATAAAACATCTTAAAATTTTTTTGAGCAAAGAACCAAGTAGGAAATACATTTTCAATTTTGGACTAGGGGCGACCCTATTCAAAATCAATTTTCTCACTTTTTTCTTCGAGGGTTTATCTAAATGGATTGAAACTTTGCATAAATATTCTAGTGCTTAAAACAAATACAAATAAAACATCCTCAAATTTTTTTGAGCAAAGAACTAAGGAGGAAATACATTTTCAATTTTGGACTAGGTGCGACCCTAGTCAAAATCAATTTTCTCACTTTATTCTTCGAGGGTTTATCCAAATGGATTGAAACTTTGCATAAATATTTTAATGCTTAAACAAATACAAATAAAACATCTTTAAATTTTTTTGAGCAAAGAACCAAGTAGGAAATACATTTTCAATTTTGGACTAGGGGCGACCCTAGTCAAAATCAAGTTTGTCACTTTTTTCTTCGAGGG